GTCCCTTTTAGGTAATATAGCATTTTGTAGGCAGCCCATAAGTTTGCACCTCCTTAAGTTTGGGATGAACTTAACACTCATTACTAGGTAATGTTCTATCTTGTATGTGGTAGATATATTAATCTGCTAACTAATCTTTGATACATTTCCTTATCAATTGGCATGTCCTCTTTTGCTGTCCCAATTTATGATTAGGATCAATTAGAGTACTAATTAGTTTATATGCTAATTTGTCGTATCTCTTACTATGTTGTGAATGTATTTTTGTTGGGAAATGAAGATTTTTGGTTTTGCACTAACAATTTTAATTCTGAGAAAATACTTCAACTTTCGTAACTCTTTGATCTCGAACTCTTTTGTTAGGCAATATTTGAATTTTAGTTTTTCTTTTTCATCATCACCTTGTTATGATGATATATGTTAAGAAGTGTACATTAAGGTTACATTAGGGTAGCGCATATATTAATAATATACTCCAATTTTTATGATATTTGTAATTAATATTATTTACTTGTATTATTACTATTCACTTGTATATATAGGGCCTTAATATTTAATGAAATATATAAATTCATTCTTTCACAAAGTATTAGATCTGTAGGTTAAGAAAACTTTAAACGCTTTTCGTAAACTTTAGTTGGACTTTGCCGAAATAAGAAAAACTCTAAAAGAAGTCAACTTTTAGAGTCAGCCACATTTACCACCGGCTTTCATCATCAGAAAATAGCCAACCAAGAGCCACAATATTTGTGCATGACCCACCACCAGCCGTGCCGCCAAATGACGTCGTTGCCCTCTGCTGTACCAGCCCCAAATAACACCTTTGGCCATGTGTTTGAATTTGTTAGCTGGCTTCCAGCGGTGCCTCTGACTAGCCGCTGGAGCTGCATATAACCTGCTCTACTAAGCTGCAGCGGCAACCTTCTGTTCAACCACAAACAGGTGCATTTAGCCTCTCCAAATCAGCTGTTCTATCAAGTCCACCTAGTAGCTGCACATCTGTCCTGTCTTGCTGCACAAGCCCCTGGATGTCTATCCTGACCGTTTGCAACCCTACCCATTAGTTTGTCGTGTGTGCCGCTCAAACCAATCTTGCTGCACCGACTAGCCTCTACCACACAATCATTGTTGATTCTGGTCAGTCGGTAATATATTTTGATTTATTTAATCGATTTTAATTACCTAAACTGTAAATCATATTAGAGGCTACATCGTAAGGTATTAATTATTTGGTGCATTCAGGTATATTTTTGTTGATTTTAGAGAAAAAATAATAATTTTTATTTCTCACTCTTTATTTTGTTACATTTAAAGTATTTATAGAATTCATAATCTACAGATAGAGAAATTTTTATTTTATTAGAGTTTTAATTATATGAAATTATTATTCTCATATAGTTATAATTATATATAATGCCAAATAATAAATTAAAATAATTAAATAATAAAATATAGCAGTCAACACTCCCCATCAAATTGGTGCAGTGATATTATACATGCTCAACTTGCAGAACAAGTTCAAAAGAGTCAAGGGGGGGGGGTACCAATGTCAATCCTCTTCTTTGTTCCA